TCTGATGTGAGCGGGAGGAACGAACATTTAAAACTCGGTACTGCGAAGGAAGGAGTCTGTTCTGTGGGTCTGACGCGGGGTTTAGACTGCGCTCGACAACCAAAGCCCGGTGCCCGCTTGCGGAGGACGTGGAGAGACAGGCGCTGCTGGGAAGGGGGAGCTGCTGATGCGGCGGGTTATTTTGTTAGGACCAAAAAAGCATTGTTATTCTCGTTAATAAAACAGGTCTTAGTGCAAGAAATAGAACTTTGTTTCTTTTTAGGTTTGTTTATTGCTTAACTGAAATAATTTGCTGCTAGTACACAATTAAGCCTGGTACGACGGATGCTGTGTTGCAGGTTGAACTCGCAGCTTTGCTGGGACCTGCAGAGCGAGGAGAGGCGTTGGGGCTTGCCAGGGCAGCCGCTGGCACGGACGGAGCGAGCGCTGCGTGCCAGGTAAGGCACGGCGAGGGGCACGGCTCTGGTGACGGACGATGCTGCGCGGCTCTGCCCTCGCACCCAGCCCGCTCCCCCGGGCGCAATGGCGGCAGGAGCTGCGGCTCCTCGTCGACAGGTCGATCTCTCCTGTCGGAAGCGACCGTAATACATGGACTCGGGGTCTGTCATCTGCGAGAAGGCAATGCTGGCGGGGGGGGTGTCACGGGGATGTCGTGACCTGGTGTCCAGACAGGACAGACAGCTGGGGTTTCTGTGAGCAGGATTTTGGGGCTCGTACCAAAACTTGTTTTTTCCCCGCTGCTTTTCTGTCTCTTACTGCAACATCACTTCAGGGAGAATAGGAGCAGCCTCAAGATCACATAAACACAGCAAGTGCCCCCTCGTATCCCGCACTTGCGCTCCTGCGGTTCGTATTGGCAGCTGTACGCATGCAGGGCTCCAAACAGCAAAGGCTGCGTGCTGGGGAGCGGCGGCTGTGTCCCTGGGCTTGGGTGCAGCTGGCAGAGTCTGGATCCGTGTCCCGGACATGGATGAGGTTTTGGGTCAGACCGTTTTAGAACCAGGCTTAAGTTTGCAAGTTGGGAGTTGGACCCAAACTGCTTTTTCCCCAGCTTCTGAGAGCAATTGATTTTGGGTCTGGCTCTTCTTTCTCTTTTTATTTATTTATCTATCTATTAAGTGTTGCCCCCTAATTTAAACCCTTTATGAAGATGGATCTTCTGCAAAAGAAAAGATGAAAGTGTGCCCTGCTCCGGAGAGGCTGTGCAGATCCCAGAGAGGGACGGTGCCCCCTGCGATGGAGACTGACCCCTTCGGAGGGGTCCTGCCCTCCGAGCAGAGCGTGGCTGATGCAGGGCTCCCCCAAGCCCCGCTGCCTGTCCTGGGGGCTACGCTATGGGTAGTGGGAGCCGAGGCGACTGGCCCGTCCCCTCCGGAGAGGGACAGCCAGGGATGGAGAAGAGCAGCTCCCGCAGGGTGACACTAGGGACAGGCAGACACAACCACCGGCACGGCGCACACCCGAACAGGCAGAGACGGGTGGGCAAGACCCGTCAGCACCGCTGGGCCGCGTGTGGGGTCTCCGTCCATCTCCTAGTGCTCAAGGGACACTTGCTCAGCAGAAGCGTGGCCGCGGTGCTGGTGTGGGCGCAGCCTGGTCCCCGCTGTTTCTGGGGAGCAAATGCATTTTGGGGCGGCGTCACCCTGTCAGAGCTGCGGTGGTTTTGGTGGTTGGAGCGTGGGCTCTGTTCCCCGCCACGCAGTAACTGCACGTGCAAACATCTACTGAATCTTTATTAAAGGGAGTAAAAAATGTTAAGCTCACGATGAGTTTTGAACTTAGTGAGAATTTTCTTTGGGCTCCAAAACTCTAGGGGAAGTTTCACAAAAAAGTTATAATTTTGACTTAACCTTAGAATATTTGCGTAATTTTTACACCAAGCCAATACAAGACTCCAAGTAACTTACACCGAGCCGTTTGTCCACCGGGCCCTCTGCGGACATCACCTTCCTTTTCTGGTTACTGAAAGTGATGTGGTGGTAGGACTCTAATTGCTTTTGCGAGACTTTTGGGGGTTAGGACAGGACTAGCTGGGCTGGGTCCAGCTCCTTCCCTGTCCGCTTGCTGCGGCATGCTGTAGGGCACAGACTGCAAAGCTACAGGGAGAAACACTTCTCCATTTCCAAATGGATGCTAAGAGGTTTTCTCAGTAAGATGGTGGTTAATGACAGGACAGAAATACAGGCTTTAATATAAACGGCATGTAATACAGATACGTGACACAGACCGCCCTGCTTCCAGTAATGCCTGACCAACTTTCTTGAGGTTTGGAGGTGTTGCATGGCAGCCAAGGGTCTCGTGGTCCCCGTTAGCGGTTGGTCCACAAAGCAGCGAGGATCTGGTGTGCTGGGTGTGAATGAAGATGCTCAGCTCTGGCAGCAGAGCCTTTTCAGCAGCAGAGGCTGTAGTTTCTTACTCTCCTCATTTCCACCAGTGCTTGGGCAAGAAGTTATGCAAACTCAACGTTGTAAGGACAGCTGTAGGCTTGGGAAGTGATTATCCCCGTGACCAAGGGCCGTGTTATGTTTGGCCTGGTGCGTTTGCTTAAAAACCGAATACAATTGCTGCGTGTCCTGGGAACGGGCTGGGAGATGCTCTCCTTAAACCGGAGCAGTGGCAGCACTAGAAATAGGTTTGTTGCATGAATGCATTTACACTGACAGTAAGAGAGCAAGGCGTACGGCTCCTGCTCCGTACGATGACACGGATGGAGGACCCTGGCAGATGGGTTCCTGCGCGGTGGCGAGGGGACGTCCCTGCGCTGCCCTGGGTCGCAGGAGCTCCCCCAGCTCTAGGAGGGGGCTCTGCCTGTTAACGCCGGCCTAAGCCCTCCTTGGCTTATACGGTGCGTGTAACTGCTTTGCTGTTCGGTTTGCATCCAGCGCTCTCCTGTTTTTGCTGTGTGATCCAGCAGTAGGTGCTGCGCGGGTGCTGACCGGGCCCGGGCTCTTCCCGAAGCGCAGGATAGTTGTGCCATTAGCAGCTTAAAGAATGTGGCAAAGTCCATCTCAACAATCCATATTAGTAGAAGTATTCTTGTTAGCAATATGTCTTCATAGCAAACCAGCTCGAAAGCTAAAAGAATAATTGCATTAATCCTATTGCATTTAATCCATTATGCTGAACAAAACCATCCTCCTTAGAAAAAGAAATGAAAGAAAAATCCATCCTAACATCGTTCGCCGTCTGTGAAACGGTCTGAAGAAGCCCGATCTCTTTCAGCGAAGGTACCTTTGGTTTCAAAAGTGCAGGGAGTGGGAGAATACAGATGGCATTGGCCGCTAAGGACTGTCTAGTATAAAACTCTACCTTCTACAGTGACCCATGCTGTCGCAGCTGGCAGAGCTGCCCAGGCATCCTACTCCTACTGGTCTGGCGGATCGAAGACCATCGCGTTAGGGGCGTGTAAGCGGTGGGGGAATAGTGTCAGTTTATTAAACTTCATGGGAAGTTCGAAGCTGTGTAAGGCATGTGAAGGAGCACTCCTATCCGAGACGCTTTGTTTACAGTGTGTTAACGGGTTAACTTAAATCGCGTGTTGTCTTGATATGTAAATAAGACAGCGGAGGGGAGTCCCACGGTGCAGGCGCTCGCTCGTGGAAGGGTCTCGCTCAGGCTGATTGATGGAGGGGAGAAGGCCACTCTCGGAAATGAGGAGGAGCGTTTAGTGGAAAACACGGTCGATCTGGCTCATCCCCGGTGCCCGGGGAGGACGTGGAGCTCGGGTCCTGCGCTGCTGCCATGTGCCTTCCTCCCCGTCTCCCGAGGGATGCGCGTCCCTGAACCGGTCAAGCTGCTGATGGGGGGCTGCGGTGCAGGTCAGCAGCAGGGGATCCTCCACCCCATCCTGGTGGGTGCTTCTCATCCTGACTGGGGGGCTTTGATTTTTAAAAATAAGTGATTTCTAGTCCCCTCATCCTGTGTTAATACTGGTCCGGCTTCCACTCCCTCTTTGCTACATAAGATTTATGGAGTTGCCTTTAAAAGAAAGCAGGCATGGTCTGGGGGCAGTTTCCCCCCAAATTCTTGCAAAGCAAAGACTGAACCAAAATGGTTTGCCTACAGTTACCCAGGCAAGCAATGCTGTTATCCTGGGCTGAGGGTGAGCAGCACCTGACTGTCCTTCCCCGAATCCCACAAGTTCTTCTGCAACCTCTTGTCCTCTGAGGATGCTCCGGAGCCCCGCAGGGGTGGCGGGTGACCTCCCCGTGGGCTTTGCAGGGGGGATGGACTGTGGAGCCTCAGCACCGATGGCAGTTACGGTGCCAAGGGAAGCTGTAGGGGACCCGCTCTGCCCTGTGTAGCTGCTGCTCGATCTTTCGGGAAGGAGGTTGTGGCGCTGGCTAGTTTGGGAAAGGCTATGGGCAAGATGCTGCCGTGAGGATGGACATCTTGGTAATACAGTGCCATGGTGTCGTTACCCAAAGATCCACCGCTTTGCTCCTTTCGTGCATTTATGTTGCGTTTGCTACTCTGCCCAGGCCCCGCTCACCCCTCTTCCCTTCCCACAACTATTTTTTTTTTTTTTTTTTCCTTCCCCCTTCCTCTCTTATCTGGAACCTTCCTGTAAAGATTAAAAAGAAGAATTTTTAACTCCCTCCCAAAACAACAAAAAGGGCCTCGGGGAGCCTGGGCGGCTGAGCCCATCGTGGCCCCTGCCGGGCTGGCTCTGGGCGCTGGGGCCAGCCCCGAAGCTGGGGTGCAGCTCGAGCATCCCGCTCCTCCTCCAGCCCCTCTGGCTCAGCCCAGATTTCAGCTACAGCTACAACCCATCCGCGCCCCGGGAGTCCTTGCCGTTCGCTCGTTTGCTAAGGATAAGATGGCATCGGCAGCCACCCGGTCTGCCTGTTTGCTTGGATTTTTTCTTTTTTTTTTCTTTTTTTTTTTTTTTTTTTTCATTGTTGGTTGGTTTCATTAACACGTTTTTGTTGGAGGGCTGTGTGTGCTACCCCCCATCCACGACAAACACCTCAGGCTGTTTGTGGTTTCAGTGCATTGCGCTATGCCAACGAGTAGATAGCATTGACTGGGGAGGTGGCTTCCGAGCTCTCGTTGCCTTCGGTCTCCTCTTTGTCCTTCTTCACCGTGTACTGGCCGATAAAGGAGCCGTCCTCGTTAAACTGCCCTTCGCCCCCCTCTCCATAGTCCACCAAGCTATCATCGCTCTCCTGCTGCTTTATCGTGCCGTCCAGGGAGGTCTGGCTGTTTGGCAGGGGTTTGTTGTCTTCATCGCTGGGTAGCAGAAGACAGACAGACACAGTAAGGGTTGAGAATGGGGCTTACAACCTTCACCCAAGGTCTGGATATTCAAAAATAAATCCAGTGTGCAAATATACTGACCAGAGACCACAAATGCGGGGTGCTCTGACTGCAGAGAGCAAGTCACGACGTGTCTGGCACGTACGTGAAGGTGGGGAGGCAGCCTCCGCGCAGGAGGCCCACAGCTGCCTGTGCAGTTGGTGCTGTGGTTGGTATTTCTGCGAGCCCAACCTTTGTGCTTTTTCTTTTTAGAAAGCAATTTTTTTAACCTATGTTGCATACGATGCTTAGATCAGTCCAACTGGATGTACGTTATAAATATCCTTTCCTTGTCAGTGCTTATATTCTTTCTTTCTCTCAGCATTTTAGCCAACCTTGGCGTAACCTGGTTTTGTGAGATTTGTTTCCAGATATCCTTGCAAAAACCACGCTCGGCTCTTTAGATAGCTACATGCAATGGGAAGCACTCTCAAAGCACTGCAAGGGGGCATGTATAGGATGCCAAGTTCTGTGCAGCTTCCAAAACTCATGGGAATTTACCTTTCCAAGCTTGTTTCTGAGGATCTAAGCTTGTTTGCTCAAGTCTTTATCCTTTTCTCTTTTTCACTAGAAAGATTAAGTCAGGTCACTGAAAAATAAATCGTCTGACACGCAGGAAAAAACAACCCTTCAAAGAAACCCTTTTAACCAAAAACCAGGGAAAAGCTGTTTTCTCTCTGGAGGGCAAGGGCTGGTATCTCATAAATACAGATAACATTGTGTGGAGGATGAGAGTGGATTGCTGTATATGAAAATTAATTTTCATATCAACTAGTCCTTAGTTCATGTTTGATCTTATGTCCAGCATGCAAATTCTGTAATATTACTAAAGGTATCACATATGTCCCTTAAACATTTGTCCTCCCACCTCCATTCCTGTCCCTTTATTGTTGTTGTTTTAGCTTGGGACTCATCAGGCTCGCTCCCCAGCACGGCACTCTACTCTGGTCCTTTATTTTTCTTAAAATCGGTAAAAGTGCTGGGCTTTGACTGCAGCCCTCGACAGTCTGTGTCCACACAAAGGTGTTTGCCTCCCGCAAAGGCACAAGAAACGCTTTGCTTGGGCCAGGGAGCAAAATGCTCTTCAGCTTGGGGAAGGCATTAAATCTCTCTCATGCCATTTAATTAATGGCATCAGCTCCCTACAGTGGGAGAGGAATTTGGTATCCCACAGTACGACACGAGCTTTCTAATGTATTTCCTCATATCAGCACTTTGTGAATTAAGCAATAATACAAAACCAATATTTGAGGCCTTGTGTTAACTTGGCATCACAATAAAAAATAACTTGTTAGCTTTGAAAGCAGCTGCTTTCTGAGGGGAGGAGGAAGAGAATTCAGCCTGCAAGCAGGACTGCCAGTTAGAAAGCCCAATAAATGCCAAGTAGAGAGTGGCAAAACCCAGATCCCTTTATTTGCAATATCCTTTCCCAAGGTTTAGGGTTCAGTTAAAGCTGAATCTAGAGCCAGATTTTCCCTAATGGGGGGGTTTGCAGCACCAAACACCCCGGCAATGCGTTTCCCGAACCTGCCCCCTGGTTTTACCTCTCTCCAGTACTATTTATCCTGTTAGTGCATTAGGAGGGCGAAGCAGATATTCATCAGCATCTTGATGCAATATAACCCTGTTAAAATGGATTTCTATGGGGTTTGCTGATGTGTGCATTAGAGAACCAGAGCACCCTGATGAAAACCATTTGGGAAACGCTGTCCTGAGTTGCATAAATCATTGAGAAGAAGGGGAGGCTTGAGCCGGAGGGAGGATTTTCAGGACTGAGACAAAGAGCGGGCAGATTGTTTAGGATCTAGCGTTTTTTTTTTGTTCGTATCCCTTGCCAGCATCCCCTGGGTGTCTGGCATCAGGGTGCTGAATGCACCGAGGGCATGGTCCCCAGGTCCAACCCGTGGCCAGGAGGGCTCAGCCGCTGGAGCGCAGGGCTGGGGGCCTGGCTGCGCTCAGGGGTGCCCCCAGCCCACAGGGCAGTGCCAGGCAAGATGCAGCTCGCTGGAGATGGGGGTACCCCTGATGCCAGCAGGAGTTAGAGGGATCTTGTTTAATGTGTTAGGTGGAGGCAGGTACATGGGAATAGGGAGGGGAAGGTATAGTTTCAGCTATAAAGAAATAAATAGCTAGAAGGAAGGAAAATATAAAAAAAAAAAAGCTAAATGTGCCGGACTTCTGGCAGCACGTGGTCCTACCTTTCAAGAGACCTTCATGGTCCATGTGGATAGACCAGGTGAAAAGGAGAAGAAAGAATGGGAATAAAACAGAGAGAAGCAGAAAGAGCCTGATCAGAGAGAGATATGATGAGGTCTGCATTTACAGGGGCAGTGCTAAAAACCAAAAAGAAACTCTGCATTCCTCATGGAGCTAATTGCCTCGTTATACCAAATGGAGCCAGTATAATTGTTCGGAGCTGGATGAGCCTCATCGGCTTCCCTGAGAAAGCGAATCCAGAGCAGCAGTGGGTGGTGCAGGTGGGAAGCGGGCTGTTTGCCATCAGGCTGTTCAAAAAGGGCTTGTGGTTGAAGTCCATCAGCGAGCGGCTGTAGGGAACAGCAGTCGCTGCTGGGGACTGACATGCAGCAGGACAAGGGCCAAGTGAATGGGTCGCTCCGTTTCCCCTCCAGCCTTCTGCTGGGTTTCCACGCTATAGTCATGCACCCGTATCACGTTATCTATTGACAAGCCTACACCTCCCCAGGCTGCTTCGCCAGACCTCTCCTCCCCTTGCTAGGCTCGGAGGATGGCTGTGTGTCCTCCTGTCTTGATGTCTGCCGAGATGGTCCCTTCGGGGCAAGCTGGCACTGCCTGCAGCGTGTAACCTGTGCCACAGGACGCTATCCTGAATCTGAACGGGAACCCAGAAGCTAAAACCACTCAACTTTCCCTTCCCAGCGGCCAGGGTTTCCAGCCAACTCCCCCACATGCAGCTTAAACATTTGGTATAATGAGGCACAGTCACTGGCACAGAACATTGTCCAAGGATAATGGTCTCCTGCTTTGAAAATAAGCTTCTCAGCTTAGCCTCTGCTCAGGAAAACCATTATTCTGTTAGTGGAACAGAAAGATGTGACAGTATCTCTTAATTATAGGCTGCAGAGATTTGAAAGTTGCATGCACAGGGCATTAAGGACGTGAGATATGATGAGAGCATATCAGACATGCTATGTGGAGGGAGGGGGGAACCAATGAAGAACTCACGTCAGCTCAATTCCTGTCCTTACTTGAAATACTAATTGCTACCCTCCTTGCGCCTAACATCGCAATCATTTTGAATCTTAATCAGCCAACAGCGTTTCATATCAATCCTTCAGGTTCACCTTCCTTTCTGCCTCCTTGAGGGAAGCCTCCTATTACTTCTCCCAGGAAACCTGTTGTTCCTGAGAAGGAGGGGGCAAAGTTTATGGGTTGCTGGTTTGTTGTTGTTCTTGTTTGATTGGGTTTTCTCCCCCATCTAGTCACGGGACAGTGTGATTGAAAACGTGGGAGCATCTTGGAGCTTGGTCATTGCCCTTCTACTGACCTCTGCCTTTAGCTTGCAAACTTTTGGGAACGGGGCTGTCAATAAAAGTTTGAGCTTCAGCTAAGCAGAAGCTGCTGTGTGATAGGATGAAGGGTTTACCCCGTTCCTTCCCATTGCCTGGAAGGCAATGCCCCTTGGATGGTGCTTGGGCAGTAAAAGCAACATTGCTGACTGTCGCAATGCTGCCAGCCATGCCAAGAGCTCGGTTTTCCTTCTGTGCAAGGCAAGCGGTCCCTGGTAATGCAGTTGCCTTGGGAGCGATGGGGGTGAGGAAGTCTTGACTGCAACCACCTCAGCGGACTCTTGAGAAGCAGATCTCTGAAATCAGTGCGTACTGCCAGAAGCTCGGCTGTGGAGACCTTGTCCGAGATCCAGGTGATGGAGCTGAGCCTGTAGGATTGTGTGTGGGTAGCTCCTGGGTGATGAGGTGTTTCAGGCTTGCTACGTGCTATTTACACCATCCCACAAATCTGGGAACCAAGAGGATCTCGGAGCATTAAGGGGACCTGTTTTGGTCAAAGCATGGATGCTACCTGTGCAGTATGCAGTTATGTTTGTGGATGTATCCTATCTGTACAAGGAACACCGCCTGCGCTCGTGAAATCCTGCTTGGGAAGAGATGCGTTTGATCTGGGGCAAGCCTGCAGCAGGACCAGGCTGCGCTAATTTCTTCTCTGCCGTTCTCTGTCCCGGCCAGGAATCTGAAGGGAACATCCCCAGACTGCAATTTGTATCTGCACTCAATGGAACTGCCCCGGTCTGGCTTGCCACCACTAGAAACGATAACACAAATCTCGCAGGGAGGCGAGGAAGGTGTTGCCCCCGGGTGGTGTTTTGGGCAATAAAGAATGGCGACCTTTTCCTACAACGTGCCGCTTCTGCTGGTTCCTGCTGGGGTGTGTTTGCGTTCTGTCTCGTGCTGTCAGAAGACTGGGGGGTTTTGGGCTTACAGCATCCTTTGGAGAAAGAGTCGCTACTGAAATAGAGCTACCATGCTACTAACAATATAGATGTGATCGTATTGAGGGCTGCAGTTGTTCTGCTTGCAGTTGTGTTGTGTGCAGGCAGATATATTCATTTTGCTTCTCTACAGTCTTTGGTGGAACACGTGTGTCTTGTTATATTCCTTATTGAATCGGAAATAAATTCTTCCTGTCTTTGCTACCTCAGTTTGTAATGCTAGGAGTATCAGTAATGACATGGGCTTTAATTAACCCCTTTTTTGAAGTCAGGAGAAAAATTCCTGCTAGCCTAATTGGGCTTTGGATCCAGCTCGGGTGGAAAGGTGCATTTTAATTCTTCTTTAAAGAAAAGCAAAGCCCACTGTAGGTGCTCAAAGGGCAAGGTGGGTGTGCTGTAATACATCCCTGTCACCAGTCAAGTGTGGGCAATCCAATGAGACCTGACATCGTTACCTGCTCCTGCTCCGTGGGGGCAACCATTAACGGCAGCGGAGCTGTGAATGCTGCGTTGCACGTGAGCAGGCTTGGGAGAGCGCCTGTCCCTTTGAGATATCCTGGGAGTTTTCCTGGAGTGAAAAGGGGTGCTGCTGCTCTTCAAAGGATGCCACTTTGCGTGGAAGCAGCTGAGCGGCGCTGGGGGGAACCAGAGCAGTTATAGCAGCACCGCTGCTAGGCTGTGCTGCAGCCCTCGAAGGGCGGCTCCGCGGGGTTTGCCTGGGGACCTTACAGAAACGCCTTGGTGGGAATGCAGGCAGGCCCCTCAGTCAGTACTTCTGCATGCTCTCAGGGCTGAGCCAAGCATAACTTTGGGCATTTCTCTCCTGGATACTCTCTTATGGATAAGAGAGAGGCTGAGCTACAGGGTGATGTACCTGAAATAGCCTCAGGCTGCTTCAGAGTTTAATTTTTTTTTTTTTTTTTTCTGTATGTGTTAGGAGTGTCATTAAAGTTGATCTGCACCTGATGAGAGCTGTGTCCTGGGTAGCTGATGCCAGAGTCCCAGCTCTCTGCCTGGACCGATCCTCCCAGGCTGGGACAGGGGAAGGAGGAGACCTTAGCAGCACCCTCGCAGCCTGGTTACTCTTCCAGGGTTTTAGGTGGGAAATGTTTCCTTTGGTAGAGGACTTGCGGAGGGAAGGAGGCAGGAGGAGGAAGGTGGGAGAAATAATTTCAGAGGCTGTGTGGCACCGCGGTGCTGCGGTTATGTGGAGGGGTAGCACGGTGAGGTCTGTGATGGCTGGGAGCGGGGCTGATGGGGAGACGTGGTCCGTGGGTACACACATGCCAATGGAAGCATACCTGTAGTCAAACGACCCGTCTTCTACGTTCTTGTCTTCGGGATTTAGATGCTCATCTTTATTGTCTCGTACTGTAAACAAGCACATCCCCAGCATTCACGTTAGAAAGCAGTACAGAAGATAAAAGCTTTACAAGACAGTAACAGCAGCTGGCGTTGAGGCTGTCTTTGTGAAATCCCTGCGGGGTGAAGTACAGCTTTTCATCGACTTGGTAAAAAAACTGCACCCGGGAGGGCTTGCAAAGGGCTTGCAAAGGGTGCCAAGAGAGGATGTATTAACTGGTGAATTTTCTTAAGCCTTATCTTTGCTTTGCAAAAATTTAATGAGATTTTTGCCTGGCAAGATTTTTTTCTAGATGAAGAAAAGGAAATTTGCAGAGTAGAGGTTGGGTCATGCCTAGCAGGAGTGTCCAGCTCCGCAGCCGAAAGCCTGCACAGCACAGAGCCCTTACCCGACCTTTAATTAACTGAAATGCTTCCCACTACTAATCGTGTTCCCACTACAGAGAAAGAAAAGCCCTTGTAATCACGAGCACCTATCTGAGAGCAATACAATTTGATTAGCCCCCAGAAGCCTGCAGATGTTTAAACCATGAGCACAAACGATTGCCGTGCAATGCTCTTACCTGGATACTTCCCGCCCCTGCTCCTCTTAATGAAGCAGACGATCAACAGAATCAGGACCAGGAGAGCTATGGCACACATCAGCCCGATGAACCAGCCCTGCGTGGCGATGTCCACGTGATTCTTGGTATAAGCTGGGGGGAAAAGTGAAAGGAAAAAAAGCTATGAGGGACAGACTAGAACCACAGAGGGAAACAGATGAATAGTAAGACATAGTCCACTGGTTTAGAAATTATCTTTAGCGCTGCATTTGTGTGTCTGTGTGTGTATTGACCGGGTTATCTGAGACTGTCGCACAGGAATCTGTGGCTTTTTGTTTTTTTCTTTTGCGGCGGTAGGTCAACTCAACATTTTAGCAGGAGCTACAAACAGCGAAGGGTCACAACATAAAGTAAAACCTAGCACAGACCAGTGAGAAAGGTGCATTGCAAATAATGGCAAAAGAAGCTGGGTAACAGATTTGATCTTTCATTTACTGTGTGTCTGAAAACCGCCCTGGAAGCGACAAGGTCTGAAAGAAAGGTGCTTAAGTGGATCCAGTCCCTGGTGTCCAGTGAGGCTGAGCGGCACCACTGGATCCGGAGGGTTGCTGAGCCCTGAAGGGCTCGTGAGCAGCCTCGAGCTGGGAGAAACCCGAATCCTGCGGGGCAGCCTTGCCCCAGCTGCAGAGGCGATGGGCAGTGGCTCTGCTGCCGCCAGCGCCGAGGTCCTGCTGCCTTTGGGTGGCCACGGGGGTCTCCGGGGCTGAGAGGGGACTTGTGGAAGGCCACCAAGTCTTGGCCAATGCACGAGAGGGGAGGCAGCAGTGGGAACAGCTCTTCAAGGAATGACTGCTGGGTCCCAGGTGGTTGAGAGGTGGTCTGATAGCACTGGAAAGTCTCTTCTTCTGGGGCAAACTCTTTTATACTACTGCTTCCAGCACCCTCACGAGGCTATTGAGTATTAATATGATTAATACCAGGCAAGGAGGTGTCTTGCTCCCCACACAACGCTCCAGCTCCTAACTGCCGTGTCCTCCCTCACATACTCTGACTTCTTGTTTGCAGCTCCCATACGCGGTCAGACAGACAAATCTGTGTCCTATAAATAGCAACAAGCTGCCATTTTCTGGCTCTCATTGACATGCACTTCATATTCAGCAAGACAGAGCAGAGGAGAAAATAACCTTCAGCGCAGCAGGGGGGCTAAATTTAACCAGACTGCAGTGCAAACAGAGATAGGTATTCCTGGCAGGAACACGGGAGATCTGAGCTGGATGGGATTGAACTGGGATTTAGCGGGGGTGTGCCTGAAGTGGGCAGGGCAGTGCAGCGAGCATCCTTTTGTGGTGCCTGTGTGACGAAAACCAAGGTGGTGCTTGCAAAGAAAGCATAAAAGATAGCCCTCTGTTAACGTATGCTGACTGAAAGGCTCGCGTAAAAGAGACGACTACTGTAAAAATGGGTTGAATTGGCAGACTTTCCTAAGCCACACCATTTTAGGGCTGTAAGTGAGTACTTATTCCATCAAAATTGAACCCAAGAGAAGAGGTGGTTTCCTTAGGATGAAGTCTAAGCCGCGTTGTCAGTAGATAAGCGCAGCCAAACTGTGCCAAGGAAATTCACAGATAAAAGAGGAGAACGATGAGGAAGACTACCGTTTGCTAAAGAAATCACGTTGGACCCTGAACGCCCTGGGTTTGTGAGCAGCACCGAGCTCCTGGGGAAGCCGGGTGGAAGTAGCTGCCAAATGGTGCCTTGGCTCTCGTTCGCTGCTTTTCCCTCTAATGCTGCCCACATTTAATATTTTCTTTTTGTATAACCTGAGCTTCGTAGTCCTTGAAGATGCACTTTTTGTAATGGAGAGAATAAGATTATAACAGAGTGGAGCTGAGAACTGGATTCAATTAGCTGAGTGCTTGGGGAGGAAAGGGGAAGAGAGCGCTTTGAAATGGAAAACTATTGCATTAGCAGTCCTGATGAGATGGGATTTCTACAGAAACCAACGCTAAGGGAGAAATAAGGGGGTCTTCAAAGTACGAAATGCCAAAGCAGCCCGAGAGGTGGGTTTGATGCCACCCGTGCGGTTGGGGGCTGAGGAAGGAGGATTTTGAGTACAAAGGCACCAGGGGATCTTGCAGTAGGATTGTGGCACTGCCTATCGCCAAGGTAGAGGTATAATTGCCATCCTTCCCAAAAAAGCAACACATGACGACAAAATTATAGCCACAGCAATCTTGCATTTAGAGTAAACGAGTGACTGTCATTGCAGCATTCAGAAAGAGAAGATTAAGTACATGGCTGTCAGAGAGGATGTTTTGATTTGCTTTAATGTAAGGCCAATGTCAAGGGGAAATAGTGGAAAGCAGCTGTGTAATCGAACAGGTATTGATTTGAAATGCAACTGCAGTGACTTTTTTTTTTTAAATTAATTACAATTTTGTGGCAGAAACGTGTTACCTAACAGTCATAGTTTATATGCCAATAGCAAAGCTGTTCCACCAACAGAAGAGCAGCAGGATTTTTGTCTGTCTTTGTAAAGCAGAGCGTTGGGTACGTAAAGTCTCACTAGCTCCAGCCTTGCATGATCTTCTTCCCAGTGTTTGTACAGGCTGGGGCATTTTTTTTTTTTTTTTTCCTTCTTCAAATTTAGCAGACCTCTTTGTATTAAGCTATGGTTGTGGTTTTGAGGTGTCCTTTACTACTAGAAGGAACTCTATTGGGTTATTGAGCTGGCAGTTAATCGGAAGCAAAGTCGGAAGGCAGTGTCCTGCAGCCACAGTGCAGGTGGACTACTTCTTATTTACCTACACTCAAACTGAAGAAACTTTTAGAATAGCTGTTTGCGAAACATTAAAAAAACATAATCCACAAAAAAAACTGAACAGTGCTTTTTTGTCAAAAGCATTCCTGATGGCATATGATTGTCAGCAGGGGCTGAACGCTCGTGTCAGCAGTATCCAGCCAGCGAAGAGATGGATCTGCAGCATTTATGCATGCGGGGACGGCAATAGCTCCGTGCATCCCGCAGCGGGAGGGCTCGGGTCACCAGTCAGCCTCTGTCAAGGGACAGAGGTGGCCCCATCCTTTAGTCTCAATGACGATATCAGTAGGAACCCCTCAATTACAGAAAATAGATATGCCGAGACTGCCAGCATCAATCAGCCAAGGATGTTGCTGGTTTTTTTCCCCCCCTTTCTCACGATTCCCTACCCCTCGGTGTCTGTTGGGCAGGGGGCTGCCCCCTCTCCCTCCGCATCCCAAAGTGGGTGAAAAGCAAGCGAGAAAAGAAAAGAGACGGGTCCAGACTGAAGGGGTTATCCAGAAGGACGTGTTGGGTGGTATGGGTGGGGGCTGCCGAGCTGGCGGTGATTTCTGAGTCAGGGGAGGGTCCAGAAGCAGAAAGAAAATTGGGGATGCAACATTGCAGCTGGAGCTGTTCTGGAGAGAGTCCGAGTTGAAAAATCGGCTCTTTTATTGCCTGGGGTCAGAATCAGCCTCTGCAACGGGAGCCCAGGGACTTGAAACCTGCAGACAGTTTGCGTGTCTGCGAGCCGAGCCCTGCCAAAGGAAAGCTGCGAGAGCTCCCGAGGTCGGGCAGCCGCGCCGCGCGGCATGCACAGCAGCGGAGCGATGGGGGAAAAAACCCTGGTGAAAATAAATCCTTTTTGAAAACACTGCTCTCTACAAAGCCGCGCGTGTTCCAGGGGCTGCTGTGCTGTGGATTTGACCATGTCACAGGGTGAGGGAGCAGTTTGAGGAGGCCCATCAGAGCTCAGTGCAGGACAGAGCCAAGGTCAGCGCTCGCTGGTTATTTCTCAGTGTTGGGCAGCATTAGACATGCAGAAATACCAGCAACTGCCATCTGTCCCTGTGTCATCTTAGCACATCAGAGAATTACTCGGCGGCATTATGGCTTGCCAAATTTTTGGACATCAAATAAGACGTGCACAGGGGTGTGGGGCGAGCTGCTGCTCCCCGCCTGCCCCTGCAGCACTCCCTTGCTGCGAATTCTATTTTCCTTTTGCACTTCTCAGCAAAGAGGCTGGAAAGTGCTTGAGCTTTCCATTACACGGCTGGATCTGAGCAAAATAATTTTAGTTCTTTAAAAATCACAGCCTCTGCCTACTACATCTGTCAGTGTGGGCTGCTCCAGTGTTGCTTGCTCCTTGGTTTTTTCAGCCAAGTGTTTAAACCCGCGCTTTGACAGGCGTTGTGCACAGATTCCTACGGCAAAACCCCCGGGTGAATACAAAGGAAGTTACGGCTGTTTTGATTTACTGAAACTCATCAAGTGTGAATGGTGAAGGTTTATAAATGCATAAAGCCCCATTCAGTGCCTGCGGAAGTCAATAAGGGTATTTCTCTGGCATTCAGTGGGCAGTGTAGGAAGCCCGTAATTAGAAAGTTTTAAAAGTCACTCAGGTGCAAAACCTGGAAAATTGCTCGTGCAATTAAATGCAAAGTTCCCAGAAGAAACCTAGCTGGAGGATGAAAAGCCCTATGCGCTTCACGTGACTCTGAGGTCTTCTGCAAACACCACGTTCTGCCTCCTCCCAGTCCTGCCCGCAGCAGCATCCCATCACCAACATCCCTCCGCCTGCCCCTCTGCTTCCGTAACTGTGCCATAACCTGGAGCCAGACGCGTGCACGCTCTCTGGGACCAAAGCAACCGCCACGAGCAGCAACGCGCATGTGAAAGTGCAAACACGGTGGCAGGGCTTCAAGCAAGCCGCATGACGTCATGAGCATGTTCTCTACCCTCCTTAAAGACCCTTTCCTTCAAAGGGATCCCCGTCCCCTCCTGGGGGTCTCCTTCTCCGTGCAATGTGGAGCAACCTCCCGGCGATGCTGGGGGTGGCTCTTTAATAAGGGCAGAGATGGGGGGGCTGCCGGGGGTGGATGAGGGCTGTTCCATGCAGTCATGGTCAAACAACCTCCCGCCACCACGCGCATGACGTCGGTGGTGATGGATGTGACATGCCTGGGAAACGTACCCCGCGGCAGGGCTGACGCCCGTCTCACCTGAGCTGGTGGTAAAGGTTATGTACGAGTGTTCGCTGGGGCTAGACCATATGGGGAACACCCACAGCTTGTACATCATTCCCGGCGTCAGATTCGCCAGCTGCACAGAGGAAGGGGTCTGAGCTTTAACAGGGATAGATTTCTCTGTCTTGTTACCTGAGAAACAGAAACCGCACATCAAACCCAGCCGCAGGAGGCTCAGAGAGATTACCGTGTTGACACTGCAGGCAATGCCTTATGCTATCCCTAGCCGCTGAGCAGAAATAATACAGCTTGATGGTCAAGGAGCTATTAACGGCTTCGTGATTATTACTCACTGAGAGTAGAAGAAAAATCAGTGATGCAGGAATACGGTGTAGGTTTTGCTGCATCCCTGCTTGCCATACTGGAAAAAATACCGGTGCTGTTCAGATCTCTCCCTACTGTTAAGACCCGATAGGTCCTTTATCTGCCCAGCCTCAGGTCTGGATATTTGGGTATTTACCGCAAAATGTCTGGAATTTGCCTGGTCCCGCTCAGCTGGGTGAGGGTGCTACAGGACTCAGTAAAGGAGTCACTTCTTGTGCTTTTGGGAGTGTAATCTGTGTACTCGTTTTGCTGGTAGCTTAAGGAGGCTTTGAACGAAATGGATGTTGCATTAAACATGCCGCAAGACTGCTCGCCCCACCTGGCAGATTGCTGCTTTTGGGGGTGAGAGGGATCTGGCCCTTCAGCTCAGGGGATGCTTGTGGGCTGATTGCTCCCAGGGTCTATCCGAGGACGACCTGTTCTTTGTACTGTGCCGGGAATCGTTTGCTGATGAGCTTAATGCCGAGCATTAAACCGTTGAATTCTAAGAAAGCCTGCAGTGGGGCTTTGATTTGTGGCTCCGGAGGTGTGCACCTCCCGGGTCAGCAGTGCTGCAGGAAGGAGAAGTGTGGCGTTGAGGCCAAAAGCATGCTGCTTGCTTCAAACGCCACCAGAAAGGGAGGAGAGCCACGGCTGTTTGGGAAGGGCTGCAATCTCCAAGATTTCCTCCCTCTCGGCCGGGTCCCGGTGAGGGTCTCCCCAGGCATCGCTGCTGTGGCAGCCCGTCCCCGGCACGGACTCGGTGCGTGGGCTCGGGAAGGGCATCACCTGCTCCTTGTGCTTCCCGGCGATGGGGAAAAAACAGGGCTGGTGGCAGGTGGGTTGGGAGCTGGGATACTGGGCATTTAGGGCTTGGAAAGCTGATGCGTATCCTGAATTATGGAAATCATTTAAAAAAGGGGAAGGCTGAGCCGAGCCCAGCCCGTGCTGCCTAACGAAGCTCCGCAGGCTGCGGAGCGAGACCAGGCACTGGCTGCGCGTTAGAAATTGTTTCAAGGAGAAAGCAAGGTTATCTCTTAAACAATGTTGTAAATGACCAAAAGCGGTTTGCCGTTAATGATTACACCTAGCTGGTTTATTTTAAATGCCGATATAAGACCAGCGTACCAGATGATGTGAGGGCTGAAATGGCTGGGAAATAAAGTCAGAGATAAGCAGTAGTCATCACTGCCTATCTATAAAAAAAAAAAACAAACCACAAACCAACCAACCAACAACACGTAAACATCTTTTCTAAAAAAGTACTAAAACCAGAGATACTGGCTTTGAGTTTCCAGACTAAGTATGTAGCCTTACAATTTTAAGAGACAACAATATCCGATACGACAGGAGGTTTGGGATCATAGATGATTCTGCCAACTCCAGGTTCAAGAAGCCCACTTTCAAAGGCATTTAAAACTGCTCTCCAATTTACATACGTTTCACTCGTTTTCCCTTAAAGTCTTGCACCTGTTCATATATATATATTTTAAGGCTCTTTACGTTGTGACCACGTACAGCCCGGCTCAATGAACAGTTCACAAATGAACAGCCTTGCCCATCTGTTTCATAAACATCTCGCGACGGTCAGTGCAAGGAGGGGGAATCACTTGCGAATCACCAGGATTGGGCTCTGGTGGACTCTCAACAGCCGTGACCGTGACCTGCCTTCTCCTCTCCCGTCCTCCGCCTGGCCACAGAGCATCGTTCTGCACACACAGTAATTAAGACTGAGTAATAGCTTGCAACCGTGGGAGCTGGCAGGATCTCTAATGGCATCACCACCCTATAGAGTCCCCACGCGGTCTGATGCTTACTGGTGATATACTTAACCACAAAGTCAGTTCCTGCCGAGTAATTGTGGCTCCAGGTGATGTTTGCCCAGTTACTATTAGCCATAGCTCTTATGTCCCATATGGACGATCCATTGGTGGCTGGTGGACAGGTTAGAACAGGAGTTAGTATTTTGGATTATACACGAATGAGACCTCATCTAGCATCTGGTGTTGGTAAAACCTTACAAAATCATTCCTGAAGTTAACGCTTTGATCTTAACCTACGAGCGTGCCTAAGGACGTATTTGTTCCGGCCAAGATCCGTAACTTTAAACTTTTGGGGCAAGTCTGGTAGCAGAAGCTCATCGCCTATTGGTGTTTAAGTCCAGCTGCACTCAGCTTATCTCTGGAGTCTGAAGACTTCTGTGGCACATCCCTGAGGGTTTCGGTCAGCAGGGAAATCTCCTGGCTAAACTCGTGCCCAAATGGACGCGGGAGACGCGTGCATGAGCGCACACGGACTCACTGCCACAACCGAGAAGGAAAGACCGGGAGAGAACATTGTCACGTTACTGGGCCTAGAGACAGCCAGTGGGGCAATGAAGTCACTCGTTTCTGATTTTGAAGTTAAGGATTGTCGACGTTGCTTTGGAGAGCGGATGAACTTCATTTCTAGTGAAGCAGAGCTAGAGTTTAGTGTGTAAGTGATGTCAGATAAGTTACACCTTGATTTTATTATAATGGTTATTATTATTATTTACTTCAGGGTGCAGGTCGGGTTTTGGTTTTACAAAATGCAGATTACTAACTCTAGTCCCTGGGATGAGGCCAGTTGTGCGACTTTTAGGAAATTGCAAGGACCCGAGGCTGCGGGGTCGGGGACGTGACCTAGAATCCCTCTCACGAATACAACCTGGGCTGCCACAGCGCTGCCCTGTCTGCCCGCATTACAGCTCAGCCTCTCCCCTCGTGTCCCCAGGGTGGTTCGGGACACGCACGGGTCCTCTTGCAGCTCCTCCTTTCCTCCCGTCTCCTCTCCCTGCTCTGTGGCAGTGCGTGCCTCGCCGCTTAATTGCCTATTTTCAAATAGCAATGTTTCCCTCCATAGTCACTTAATAGCGACTGGGTTGCGGTAGTGATCTCGCTTCATTACTAAGACCTCGTAGGTAGCGATGAAGCTGCATCTGCGCATCTTGCACCAGTTTTTCAGCAGGTTTTGGGTTGGCAGTGCGGCTCCCTGGGTGCTTTCCCTTGACTCGCAGTTAGCGGCTTTGCACAGCCTAAGGCTTCCCTGGCTGGGGAGGTGTGTGGTGCCAAAGGCTGGAACGCAAATTCACAGTTCTCAGTTCAGGTCTGCATCTTTAATAAGCAAATTAGTGCAGAGCGGGAAATGTGCTGCTGGCTCGCACATCGATTTTACTGCGGCGTGTCGGGCGGAGGCTGGTCCTCTCAGCGTATGCTTTTGGTGGGTTTTTTTAAGCCATCCTGAGCTGATCTTATGCAAGAATATAAAGAAAGGGGTCTGAATTGCTTTAATCAAATGCCTTGAGTTAAATGGGTGTCGACTTTGATATTCATTGCTATCATCTCCTTTCCCTCTTTATGAAGAGTTCACAAGGATTTCTGTAGCTTTTGCACTTGCATTTTTGAGTGTATCCTATCCAGCTACGTAACTGAATTCTTTTCATTGCGTTCCCTTTTGCTACTAGTTTGAGTTATTTTTTAATAACCTGAATATAACTATCCATAATTATTTATTAACTGTAGATACTACTATAGCCGTGTTTTAAAAACAAGGCTCAGCGAGATTCATCTCTCTGTATCTAGCATTAAAACGCATATAGTAGAGAATATTCCTCCACCAAAAGAGACACTGATCATCCCCTTTCAGCTGGTCGCCTGAGTTTATCTTGACCTGATAAATACCTGGCACACGCCTGCGTGTTGTAACTGAAATGCTTCCCCAGCTCTCCGGTGGGCTATGGCGAGGTTACAGCGCAAAGAGCAGCAGCATAAACCAAAAGACTCATATAAATGATGACAGGTCTCTTAGCTAACAGTTGATGTGCTAAATTTGAAGCGACGTCTTCTAGAATAGTAACAGAACCCCTTTTTAATGGCAAGAAGATATGAGATAATGCTTTTGTAGGGTCTTCCACCTCCTTCCCAACCACTGAAGCTAACTCAGCATCATGACACCCCGGGGAGGGCTGGGTTATCCCCAAGACTGAGACCAGGAGGGTGGCACAGAGACCACCAGACCCCCAGGCTGCTGGGAGCCACTTGTGCTCCTCGATTCCTCAGCCCCTGCCGCCTCCGGCTCCTCGCCAAGCCGTTCCCAGGGCGTGGGATGCCTTAAATTTTGCCTCTGCCCATTATTAATCCTTGCTCTGAGCAAGACACGGGGAAGGTCCCAGTAGGGTTAGGGGGTTAGAGGAAAAGGAAAGTGCAGTACCCAACTCCTGCTTTGTGGTGGCTGCCGGAGCCCTCTCTGTAGCTGCTGTAGTGCTTGCGACGGTGGTGGCGGGTAGAGTGGTGGCGGCTGTGGTGGTGGTGGTGGTAGTTGTGTCGGTAGTTGTGGTAGTTGTGTCGGTAGTTGTGGTAGTTGTGTCGGTAGTTGTGGTAGTTGGGGTTGTTGTAGTACTGGTTAGACCGATTGTAGTTGGAGGCAACCCAGTTGCAGCTGGGAGAGGGAAACACTGGCTTTTTAGACGAGGTGACGTCCCCTCGGGGCTTGCGCTCGCCATCCCCAACGGCTGGACGCGCAGGCACGCGAGAGCAAGCGGAGCAGCACAGCACAGAGGCAGGGGTGCTGGGGAGGGAGGCAGCAAACAGCACCAGCAAACAGCAAGCGGGGGGCTGCCCCTGGCAAGCTGCTCCTGCGCACCCACCGCCTGCACCCACGCCTGGATCCCTTTCCCAGGGCCGAACGACCTGCTTCTCTTTTGCCTTTGCTCTACCACCGGTGCCCTCCACCACCCTGGGCTTAAATCGCATGGAGGGTGTGGACGGAGGAAGGTGAGGGGTGTTTGGGGGATGCACAGGGCTGCCCTTGCCCCGTCGTCCCCCCGCGCAGAACTGCGCCGAGAGCACTCGGGGCTCCCTGAAATAAGAAACAGGATTTATCTCTTAAGAAAACATAATGATCCCATTTGTCGTGGGCTAGGCAAGCCACAATTACATTAATTCAGCAGCCCTGGACTACACCTCCAGCATTTCTGAGCTGCCAAGTCAGCCTGCAGCTTCGCAGTTGTTTCCTTCCCGGCTCGGCTCCGTACTGATACTGCAGTCTGGTGACGGAGCGGCTTCAGCATTAACATGGATTTTAGCCTCGGTGAGTGATGGATGGTACTTTGCCATCACTGCCACTCACAATTTACATTTAAATTAGGACAAAGGGGTTGGCACACCCCAAGCTGTCCAGGGGGAAAGTCTGAGCAATTTGTTTTCTAAATAGTCCCCGTCCACCTCTCACCTGTGCTACGTTTCCAGAGCAAAGGGGTAAATGTGCACTTTATGCACACACCCCGCAGCGTGGTTGAGAGGGTCCTGAACACCACCAAAGGGGAGTGCATTGGCTTGGGCCTGAAAACCTGCCAGCAGAAAATGCAGCTGAAATGCTGCTTAAGCTACCTAAGGTAAATGAGCGGAGATTTACCCTGTGATGCTTGCATTAGATTATATTTACTTGTTCCTACTGTAGATCAAGGGATTACAAATCGCCCTGTTAGGCAAATGAAACCGGCTATTTTAAATATCACCCACAAACAAGAATAGCTCTAGGAAAGTACTTTAAAAGGTGTCCCAGAACCAAGCCAGGGCTTGCTTTTTCACCAAGCCCATCCCCAAGGAGGGCCAACCCCTAAACCCTCAGCCCTTCCAGAGATCCAAAAGCAGAGTAGAGCAGTAGGTCACTCAGTCCATCTCCCTACCGACCGCGGCTGCAATAAAACCACAGTTACCAGCACGCCCCGAAAACACCAGCCCGCCCCAACGCGTGCCCGGAGAGCGGCGCGTCCTCTCCGCGGTGGTACCAACACAGCATCGCAGCCAGCCTCATGCAGCAGTGCAGCCACCGAAATGAAGCACCCGCCTGGCGCAGCCCGCCGCCGCCCCGCGGCCGGGCGAGGGGCTGGGGGCAGCGGAGGCGGTGGCGATGGGGAGGGGACCCGGCCTGGGGGGGAAATGGCCCGGCTTTGTCCTCGGGTGGCTGTAGTGTAGCAAAGCCCTCTCCACCCTGACCCAGCCGCGGCGATGGGGGTGTTGGGGGTTTTGCTGTTCTGCATTCCTTTCACCCGGTTGCTGATGGAGGGCTTTGCTGTGTCCTGAGGCTGTAAGTTACAAAAGCCTTTCTTGGGTTGTGAAGTGTTAACATCCATCTTTGCTGATTCACAGCAGTTTTTTGGAAGGTTAAGAGATTAGTGTCACTAGGTTAATATCACCATTAACCCGATTAAGCTGCAGCTCCTGAATAGGTTTGCGATGTACACAGCCAAACAGCACCGTAGACACTAGTTATTAGCTAATGCAGTCTCAGGGTTTCCCCTGTGAATCCCTGGCTCCTCTCTGAGGAAAACAGGACCCAAAGTACCTTGCTGAAAGGCAGGAGCTGGTGGGAAGCCTAGCACAACCCCCAGCTCCCAGGCCTGCCACACATCTCGGCATCATGCCTCTCCCACACAGCACCTTCGAGGACTGTCTGCATCGCCTAGCACTAACGGCTTTAGCAGGAGAGATCCAGCTTTAATGCTCCTCTGGACCCTAGATAGGCAGAGATTATCTGGGATAAGTCACAGCTTCGCTATGCCTCGTCAAGGGTATCATCTCTATGTAATGCATGCAGATACACCCTCCTGGATGCTGCACTGACCGAGGCGATTCAGCGTCGGTCGGAGCTGTGCTGCTCAGCTCTGGCTGACAGTGATGCCAGGCAGGATTTGCCCACACCGCTCCAGCACTCCAGTGGAAGCGATCCCCGGGAGCAGGGCTATTGCACTGCATCGGGATAACGCGGGCTCGCTCCCGAGCAGGTCCCTGCGTGAGATCGAGGAGGGGGTGTTGGCACCGGGGATAAAAATGACCCTGGCAGGACTAGGAACAGGTAAAAAGTGGGATCGGGTGAGTCCAGAAAGCAGTAGTTCAGAGAGGGGAGGATGGGGAGAGCGTCCGTGGGCAGCACCGTGCTGCAGGATGGGACCGGGCAGTGGGAAGGCGGCCAGGGCTCCCGCAGCCATGGCGGGATTTAGTCCTAAGCTGCCCCGGGAGTCAAAGCTATAGCCTCATTTGTGTTTGAATATGAAACGTATGCAGGAGAAAAGCTCAGCTGGGAGATTTGGGGGACAGAAGATAAGGGGCATTTTCTAGGCTTTGAAATCCATCCCCTAATGAGAGCTGACTTCAGGCTGGGGGGATAAAGGCGGGCTGTGACTGAGATCAGAGCGCTCCGGCGTCCCCGAAGAAAAGGGCACCCCGCCATGGGGGAGCAGCCCTGCCCTGGGGTACGGGGGACCCCGCTCGCTGCCCGCCACGCCGAGGCTAACGAAGGAGTGACAGATCGCTGCTCCTGGCAGCAGAAGGGCCCGGACTGCTCATTTTGAAAAATCTAGAAGTCACACACATCCTTCTAAAAATGCGGTTGCAATACTTCATCAAGTATAACGTTTCTGAGCTTTGCAGAGTAGCTGAATTTATTTTTCTGCGTTCCCAACGTGAGGTTCGCTCAAGGGCCTTGACAACAGTTCCTCAAGTTCAGGTACAGGACCGAGCGTCTGGCATTTGTGGGATCGGGAAAAGATTCCTCCCCCCCCCCTGCCCCCCAAGCCGGAGGCGGTGCAGGGCAGGGGCTGCCGCGTTCCCCACTGCAGCACCCTGACGACCGGTGTTTCGAGCAGGCTTGAAATTGCCCCAGTACCCCCGGGAAACCGAGTAAAAGCCAGCAACAGCAATTCCCATTCTCTCGCTCCCACCGTAGCCTAGCCCATCTTCCTGGAAACATCTAAACGACCTCGGCTCATTAACAGGCCCCATCTTTGCAAGGCAGAGATTGCTTTTGCTGTCTGCAAGATGCATTACCCTTTCAGGTAATGGAGACGGAGGGGCACGGTGGGGAGGAGATACGCTGTTATAATGGACGGGGGATGCAGCAGTCTGGCTGTAGCAATTAATAGGCTAAGTAATGAGAGCGGTGCTTGCAGCAGGGCGGCCGGGCCCTTTGCTGCAGCTTGGCTCCTACGGCCACGAATGGACAGGAAAAAGGAGCCCAAATCTTACACAAAAACTGTGTGAGGCTCAGATTAGGAAAAAACCAAGAGGAAGAATCATAAAAGCAAAAGGGGGATATTTAAAGAGGGAGCCTCTTAAGAGAGGGACTGAGTCCTGTTCCGAGTAGTGTAGCAGTTCAGGGAGTAGTTGCATGGTTTTTTGCAAAATACAGGAAACAATACCCATCCATACTGCTCTTTAATTATTTAAAGCTGCTTTTAATGTGTTGTTAGGCTGTAGTAACAGCTTTCCCTTGGGTGTGTCTACAAAATAATTGGGCTTGGAGAAATTTGATTAATTTTTCATGAATTTTGATGATTAGCCAAATACATTTTCAGAGATTTTTTTTTTTTCTTCTCGCCCTCTCCCAGTTTTTAGCAACAGAAGGAAATTGTAAAGTCTTTTCCATAAAGATAAAGTGTTCCAAATCTGATGATAGCGATATGAAATTCAAGAATAGAAAGGAGCATTTGAGCAGCCTCGAAATGAGAGGGGTCAGCAGTTCTCTCTGTTTCTGCTGCGTCCGTTTCTAAAACGAACAATAGGATCTTTCTCCTCCAATTCCTAATTATGCAGAGAAAAGAAGGGAAGAGAGAAAAGTCACTTTTTTTTTCCTTAAAGTCTAAGACCAATATTCTTTGTGGTCCGTGATGAAGTTTTTCCATACACACGGGTGGTAGAGGATCCCGTTTTGATTTTCTCATTCATAGCATAAATGAGGGCCCTTTTTAGATGTCCTCTCTTTTCCCCTATCGCCTCTCCCTTTGTCCAGGTCTGGCTTAGGAAAGGTAAAGCCTTTCCTAAGGGAAAGTCCCTGCACTTCACTTTGATTTCATCAAGCTGGTCCAGTTTCTCATCACATACAAACCAGCTCTGGCCCTGTATATGTAAAGCTACCCCCGGAAAAAAAAGACCTTTTCATTCTTTTAGTGCCAGCCGCCCATGGCAAAGAGTGTTTACTGCAATTTAAGACAACTTTCACTGTGAATCCATAAAAATCTACAAAATCTAGGTCACTGAGCGGAGAGGAAAGGTCAAGCAGTATTCACTCGAACCCCGTACTTGGTAGGAAGAGAAACAGCCTCTCGGGACAAACGCGGCCCGCCTTGTGTAACGGCTCCCGCGCCCGCCCCGTGTCCTAACGAGAAATGACATCCAGCTCAAGAGCGAGGCGAAGATGTGTGCTGGACCTTGCTATGGCTTACGCTGCCTTGATTTCTCTTGCTGAAGTGTAGCACGGTGAGGGAGCCGTGGATGCGGCTGGCTTACCACGTAACGACCTACTACTCCAGTTACTAATTCTTAGATGTCTTTCAGCTCTGGCAGATCTCTTCACTTTACTGTTTCGCCTAGCAGAAGGTAAAAAACAGAGGGGTGGGGGACCAGTGGGCTCTGTTCTCGTAGAATTCTCCTTTAAAAGGCAATTCATTCATCTAGCTTCCAGTGGCATAAGAAATTATGCCTGAAGTTATATGATGCTGGAAGGATAAAGAGATCGCATTGTGTTTTCAAAGTTCAGCAATATCCACTGCAAGTAGAAAAGTACTTTAAGAAGGTGATCCTGATCCACAAAGAAAATCCAGATTCTCATGGATAAGCTAAACCCTGGCCGAAGTACGAGCTATAGCAGCAGAACAGCCCTCCCGGACTTGGAGGGATGAGCTCCTCTAAGCCAAAAGGTTACGTCCATTTTCAGTTTCCCACCACCCGAAGCAGACCAATCTGTTACCTCCTTTTTCTTTTTTTTTTTTTAGGAAGAGAAAACAGGTAAGAAAAAGATTGGCATCTATTCAGAAAGGAAAAAAAACCCCACAAAATAATATCAGCTAGAGAGACATCACTGCAACAAAATAAAAGGAGGAGAAACGTCTATGAGGTAGGAAAGCAAAACCTACAGGTGCAGAGAGCAGGTCCTGCGCTTGGATCACTTGGGAAGAGTCTTCCCTAAGAAGCTGTTCCTCCTTGGGAGGAGCGAAGGCAAAGCACGACCTCTTACAGAGCCCTGGGTGCAGGGCAGACGAGGGCTGTTGCTCCAGACCAAAAGCTTTCCTGCAGCATTCGGGGGCCGTTTTGGCCGGCCGCACTCCCCAGCGCTGCCGCTTGCCCCCTTCTGAGCTCGGTCGCAGGGCTGTCCCCGCCGCTGAAACAGTGGCTCAAAGGGGGCGAGGGGGAAAGTCACGTCTGCGGCTTTCGTAAGAGGCGGGTGTCCTTCTTTGGGCAACCAGAAGTTGTGCTTATGCTTTGGACTTTGCAGGGTTGACACTGGGTAACTGAGGATTTGGGTTTCCTCGAAAGCAGGTAGAGATGCTGCCCCCGCCCCGTTACAAGGAAAGGTTTCTCTCTGCTTCAACGCTGCTGTAGAAATTCGCAATCCAGGGCAAAGCCAGCAATAGCCTCGCATGCAGACATGCACAGCTGTGGCACAAACATTGTCCTTAACCCTTTCAATGGGCACGTGGAAACAAAAGGATTCTGCTGTACGAAAGCCCTGGCAGCCCTGAAAGAGCGGGGGGGTGCGTGGCTCGTGGTGCCCGTACGCTGCAACGCCGACCTGCGCGGCCGAGGGAGGCGGCCGCTCCAGCAGCAAGAGCGCAGGCTCCGGGGTGCAAAAATGCAGCTTCAATACTGCAGGGCAGAGCACAGGCAGGCACTGTGGAGTCGGGGAGGGCTGGTAAATGTTCTGTATTTCGCAGGGCAGGGATGTTGAGCCTTAATAAGGGAGAGGGCTTTGTGCAGACCTGGGATTAAAAACCTCTTTAATAGGGCGACTTGACTCTCATTTCTGCTTGTACAGTCTGCGGCAGCTGCAGTGTTTGCTGGGTTTGGCTATCATTAGGCATCTGGGAGACTGTTAAGCCCCACTCAGAGATATTTTAATCTTTGCAGACCCCCCCTACAGAGCCTGCCCTAGTCCCTGCTGCCTGTGGGGCTTCGTTTTTACCTGCTGCCGTTTCATATGTCCAATTTAGACTCCCGACACTTCACCTTCCCATTGAAAGGGTTAATGGAGTGCATGCTTAATTGCCAGCACACCCAAGCGAGCGTGGAGTGAGCCTTGCCCCATGCCTGTTACCTCCTCCGGCTGGTACGGTACCTGGGGTTGGCGTGGCTTCAGAGGGCAGCGCCAAGGATAGAGAGGGGAATACGAAGAGAGCATAGAAGAGAAGGGAAAAGAAAACAGAGGAATATATAAAACAGCCAGAACACACCAACAGGAGACTCGGGACCACTTGCACACGGTCAGCAGCGACTTGAGAGAGAGGGAATAAATGCATTAGCTGCAACCCGTCACCCTCCTGTGCATCAGAGCCACTTGCACAGGGCAGAGAGAGCAGGGACAGCCCTGGGAGATGGAGATCACCGGTTAAACACACCCCAGCTCCGCAGCAGAGATGCCAGTGGTATCGATTAAGCAAAGTCCTTAAGCAGGTGCTTATATCTAATCCCAGCAAGGACTGGTTTTGACACTCTGAATTTCTCCTTATTTTTTTTCTAGTGTAATTCTAACATCAGTGCTCGTCCTGCCTTGCGTGGGTTGGAGTCTGCGGTGCAGAACATCAGGGAGATGTATTTTAGTTAAACGTCTCAGGTGAATGAGTCTGGCAAGCAGAAAACAACCTCTGAATGCATTAATGGGTTTAATTTTCTTAATCTGCTTTTTTTCATTCCAAACTCATCTTTCGCATAGCTTTGCAGCAGGTACCTTCATATCAACGTGGGCGTTTAGAGCTGCTAATTGTACTTACGTGCCTGTCATTGGCAGAACCCGCCTATGTCGTGTTGTACCTCAGGGTCTCATGTTTTGAGATCAAACTTTGCCATATTTCTGTAACTTCAGACTGGGATTTGACTCTTTAATTTTTCTTGCTGCTTAACGGGCATCGCTTTGTCCTCTGGCTAAGCGGCAGCAGCTCGTCCCCTCGGCAGGGGCGGCCGGGGAGCGCTGGGTGCCACCGCCCGTCCGCATCCCCGGCCCAACGGCCGGGGAACCTTTCCTCGTCGCGCCGGCGTACGCCGTACCTGCTGTGCCCTGATGCAAAGCAGTGAAGCAGTAGACAACAGCCGTTGGTTATGGCTATTATTTACCTGTGCTCTCCTAACAGTCACTGTTCTCAGCATGTAGAAACAAACGTATATGAAACAACTAGAACTATTGACTGTCAGCACCGACAACTTCAATCCGATCCCTGTGCTCTGTTTGTTCAGCAAGGCTCCTTTTTAAAGCAATGACATGCCCCCTCTCCTCTTTGCCAGGGTGTAACTTAGCTGATTTTTTTGCCATAGCATATGCAGCCCCGTCTCCCACCCTGTCACGCCAATTAGGGATGCTGGAGCCCACCTAAGAGGTGTCAGGAGGCATTTCATTTCCACTGGATCATCGGTAGGAATTACTTTTCCTACTCAGAGCCATTAGTTGGGAAGGAGTAGATGGAGGAAAGGAGACAAAAACCCCATTAAACCAGAGCGCTAACCAAATCATAGGTCTTTTAGCAAATGCTAAAGAAAGGAAAGAGCCAGCTTTTGTCTCCCCGTGTTCCCTCAGGGCTCCTGAACTTTCACTTAGTTTGATGAATGGCCCACAATGGGCATTTTATCTTATTATGAATCTGGGAGCCGGGGCTTTGCTTTGAGGGTCAGGTCAGCTGCTGGTTATGGGGTGACTGGGAAGTGGCACTGTAGCCCCTGCCTGGGGTTCACTGCCCCAAGGATGCAGCTGCTGCACCCTCTTCGAGCCGCGTAAAAATCACCCCCATCTGCCCCTTATTTAGCTCATACGGAGACTGCGGAGGGGCGGGTTAGAGCTTCACCTTTGCAAGATGAGAGCAAGATGCTCTCCTGCTCCAGGGGCACGTGAGGAACGCGAACTACTAGGGGGTCAGCAAGACGGTTCCCGAGAGCACAGGACGGTCCCCCCCGTCACCTCTGTAGCATTTCTGCTGCAGTACTCGGTCCTGGTCAGGCACCTGTCTCTCTCTCCGCAGTAGATAGCAGCTGTACACCAGTTACTGTCTTGTACTGGTTGCTCTGTGGACCAACTGATTCTCTGACCTGCAGTTTTTGGCTGATACATGTACCGTCACCCTCAACCCCTCAGCAAAGCCAGAAGCTGTTGCTGCTACACATACCTTCGTACCGTCGTTCAGCAGGGCTGGCGACTCCTCCACTATGGTTTCTCCTTCTCCCACCTGGGTCCGTGCGCGCAGGAAGAAGCGATAGCGCGAGATGGGGTCTGTCCTCTGCAGGGTGAACCTTGTCTGGTTGGGAGAGAAGTTCTCTACCAGGGTTCGGCCTGTTTTGGATCCGTTAACTGGGGAGGAAAGGCAGGTCGTGGTGGCTTCAGCCTTGTTTCAGAAACACACTGTGCCATCTAGCTCATCACCTCGGCCCCGGGACCGGACCTGCAGTCCGCGTGGGGCCACATGTGCTCAGAGCTATAGCTGCTGTTAAATATACTTTATCTAGGGCAGCTGGTGACTTACTGGCTGGGGGACCTGCTAGCGGGGACATTCAGGGCTGGATAGGTGGTCAAGGAAGGGCATGGCACAAGTGCCAGGGTCTCAGAGAAGGCTGCGCTGCTCCAGGCATCGTGCTGCGCTCTGCAGGGTGTGCTGCGCTCCAGGCAGCAGGTCTTACGCAGCCGGGAGCTTGCATTTGAGTGAGCACATAAACTACTCAGACTGTGCTTAAAGGTCTTTTAGAATCAGCGATCAAACTTCTTTCCCTTCAATGGTCGAGTCTGGAGAACTGCTGAGCATCCACAACCCTGCCTGGGTAACTGCAGCTGCCCAGCCCTGCTCCAGGACTCCTCTCTGACACCAGCATGTCTCATCTTGTGATTAAAGCCTCCAGCTCCTTACGGAGAGCTTTCTGTGCTAGGTGAGGAGGTAATTAGCAGCAAGGAAAATATCTAATGACATAATTATTGTCACTAAGAAGATAAGATGTAGAACGTACAGGCTTGATATCTAAGGTTGTATCCTGTGAGGACTCCATTGGGATGCTCTGGGTGATCCCACTCCAGATTGATGCTTTCCAGATTTGGCTGTCGGATTCTTAAATACCTGGGGGAGCTGGGCACTTGGGAGGAGGACGGGACCAGGAAGGAGAGGGAAAGAAGAGAAAACATACAAGATAACATACCTTACAACACTGTATACATCACAGGCTGATACACTCAAGGCACTCATAAATGCACACGCACGCAGATACCACACACACGCTAAAGGTCAGAAACCAATTGAACAAGAATCTGTGCCAGAAACCATGCGCCAGCCCAGGGTTTTCAGCAGCGTGTATGCAGGGAGCAGAAACCAGAGCAGCTCTGCATGCAAGCCCAGCCCCGGCAGCCCCGTGCATGCTGCGCTCGTGGGCACCGCTGCTCTCCAGCGCAGCGCTTGCTGCGGCCCCCGCAGAAGATGCTACGGCCGTGAAGCGGAGCTGTCACACAGCTCAAGTCCCACGTCTCTATGTTGTACACATACTTTACTGGTCTTGTTTACAGCCCCCATCCAGCCCAACATTTACATCTCATCTATTTGTCTGTTGGAACGGTGAAAAACAGTAGAGCAGCTTCTCTTACTGCAAAGCGTCTTTGCGTTATTAATGCCTAGAGACCTGTAACAGGGAGCTGGTGCACGTATACAGTGGTCCTTACCCCGAGGAATGGCTGCTTTTGTGACTGCTTATTCAAAGCTAGTAAAGGAAGGAAAGCATTCTTGAATTAAATCATTCTCCTGGTTTACTCATAATTGCGGTGTCTTGTCTGGGGAAAGAACTTGGCTCTCTGATCTGAGAGATCAGCGATTTTTTTTCTTTTTAAACAGTTTTTCAGAATATCATTCAATCTCCTAAACATCACTGTATAGTCAATAAAATTGCTTAGTGGTACAGGAAAATACAAACCAGCAGTTTGCTTACGACAAGAGTCTAACCTGCTATAATTGTGCCAGTCAGTGCCACCGGCGTACGCGCAGAGCCACCCCGAGAGCTCCGTGCCTCCGGCGCCCAGGTAAGCACCCCCACCAGAATGCGCTGGCTGCAACACCGCCCTACGGAACCCAGTCCCTCCGTCGTAAACAAGCTTACTTATGGCTGGTCAACGGAAAATCCTTAGAAAATGGTGACAGCATCCAAGAAAATGTTAAGGAAGAGACAGGACCGAGAGAT